GTAAAACAATAAAGTTAAAAGTGTAGAGGGAGTGTCAGATGTATTTGTTTAAAAAATAAAAAGGTGGAAAGCTAGCTTGGCACGAGTGTAAAAGGTTAAACAAAAATAATTTAAATATGTTCTTTGAATACAGGCTAATGCTGTTAAGAAAATGTAGAACAAGAACCGTTTCTGTCACACAGAACTGCCTGGACCCTGAACTAATCATTCATTTTTTTAGTTTTGTTCATATAGAGCCTGAAGGCAACCTAATTAAAATCAGATGTTTAACAGGTGAGTCATTGTTACTTCAGGTGTGCGTGGAGGGAGGATTCCCCTAAAAACCTCCAACGGTGGGTGGTTTATCTGGTTTCACAAGCAGAAACAGGCCTGTGTCTTTTAAAGCCAAACATGAGTGGACTTTTTGCCGGACTGTTGAGGGCTCGATGGACTCTTGCTAACCGAGCAGGTGTGATGATTAGACAACGAGCAACGTATATCAAGTCCAAACCACCGAAAGATAAGATCGGCGCTGCGGTAAGTTTGCTGAATTAGCCCTGATACGTTTTTCAGTGGCCTAAATGCTAACTGTCCTCCCTTTCAAGTGTAGCTGAAGAAGTTTTAAAAAAAATTGTGAAATGTCTCTTTTCTCGCAGGAATCTATGTTCGTGCTGACTGTGATGACTGTGACCATCCTCGGGCCTTCTGGTTGGATACTTGCGCACTTGGACTATTATAAAAGCCGGGGCTAATGGACGAGGCCATGAACGCAGTTTACCTACATGTGTTAAAGCCAGATTTCCTGATGTCAAAAATGCTATTTGAACCTCTCGATATTTTGTAAACATAATAAAAAGTAGTTTCTCAATTTCACGTTGTCAGTTTGTTTCTATTTGTGTCCTTACCTGGCAGCAGAGGTGGGACAAATACTCATATCGTGTACTTTTAAGAATGGAGAAACCAGCTCGAGTGCGCTAGAATTTGAAACTACACAACCGGAACAAATCTGCGCCTTCCTTCAGACTTCCCCTCGTCCTCCAACACACACAGGGACGCGCACATGACCAATGAGGGCACGAGATAAGTTTGTGCACGAGATGGAAGGCTGACAGGCAGGTAGGCCATCCAGTTATTTTAGCCGGCTCAGATGATTGGTCGTGCTTTTTACAGCACCACAGCTTCCACAGATGACATTTTTTTAATGTTTATTGATGGTTCATTGTCAAAGCATTTAATGTATTCATTACCTATCGGGATGTTAAGAGCATTCCATGGAATATAACAAAGTGTTTCTGAAGTGAATTACCTAGCCCACCTTTAAAGTACAAGTACCAGTGTAGGAATACTCTGTTACAAGTAAAAGTCCTGCTTTGAAAATGTTACACAAGTTCAAAAGTAATGGCATCAAAATATACTTAAAGAACCAAAAGTACTCACGATGCAGATTGGTCCATTTCAGAATAATATATGTTTTGATTATAATTATTGATTCATTAAACTGATTAAAGTGTTATCAGAGCTGGTAAAGGTGCAGCTATAGTTGTAATGACTGTTTACTGCAGGGTAGCTTGTGAATTTACTCCAGGTTTATCTAAAGTCTTAAGTGTTGATTATATTTCACATCATTAATCCAAATCGGTAAAGTAAAAGTACGCGATTTACGTATGAAATGTAGTGAAGTAGAAGTACAAAGTAGCATAACATGGAAATACTTAAAGAGCAATTTGCAGGTTAGAGAAACCATAAATGTGTAGGAAAATTATGTACACTAGAATCGATTTTCCCAAAAATATACATAAATATACACTACAGTGACATCTGGCGTCGTTTTTGTAAGACATTTTTACTTGCGCATAAAAAAAGCCTCCCCATGTGACCTCCCACGTGTGACGTCAGATGGGGGAGAGCGGCCGGTCTAACGTAGTAATAAACATGGATCACAATGCTAGTTTTGACACAGAAGAGGTTGAAAATAAATATTCCAATGCATATGACGGACCACAACCATATAATTATGAGCCTGTTAGGCGTCCAAGAGACCAGGAGCAGCCAAGGATTAGAAGAAATAACGATCGGCGAGAAATGGAGCTGTGGTGTGAAGAGAAACAGTGGAGAACAGGGCAGCTGTCTTGGTGAGTGACCGGCGTTAGTTACAGTTAATGTTAGCTAACGTCGGTCACATCGCAACATTGTAAAGTTAGCTATCATATATCAGGCTATAACTAAAGTAGTATTGATAATATAGTAACGTTACGGGCAGGACTGTTGATACTGATCCATAGCAGAAACTAATGCGCAAGTATCAGCCGTATATCACGTTTGTTACGGTATCTGAGGACCCAAACGCAGGTCACGGCAGTGTTGAAAAAGTGTTTATTAGTGGACGAGGTGCGGGGAGTAGAATCCGGCTGGAGTGGCGGCTGGTGACGGCGTAGTATGCTTGAAATAGTGGCTCTGGAGCAGCTTTCCTCGACATTGAGAAACACCCCCTGTCTGATCCTTCTTATTATACATCCATGGTCTGGTCAGACATCAATCTGTTCCGCGTAGCGCGCCCCCTAGAGGCCTGGAGGTGGAGCACTTCCGGTATGTTTTTTTTAAATGTGTTTTTGGGTTTGTATGTGTTTTTGACTTTGCATATCATTTTTGTATTTGCAGTGTTTTTCTGTTGCGTGTGTTTTCAGGGTTTGTGTGTTGTATTTAGCTTGCATCATTTCTGTAAATGCAGCATTTTTTTGTTGTATTTGTTTTCAGGGTTTGTTTGTTTTTTATTTCATTATTTGCAGACTGCTTATGTATGCGTTTTTAGCCGTTGTTCAGCGTTTGCACCTGCCGGCCACCGTACATATCCAATGTATTATTTTGAATACATGTCTTTTTAATATGCATTAAAACTGTCACAAAATTAGCTATTCCAGGAAAGATTTATACAAAAGTAACATAAATCGCCAGGGTTCCCTTTTTGAATTTGGGCCCCTGCCCCCCAAACATCTTCGACACGTGCCTGTGTGGGGGTGGGGGGCTGTGTGTGTGTGTGTCTGGTGCAGTTGCGCCTCTGCACCGGTAGGTGTCAGAAGCTGTCGGCGGAAGTGCGTGCTCACAAACAGGAGGTATCGCCACAAGGAATCTACAGCTGAGAAATCGAGTGATCCGAAAGGAGATTTTCCTAATAAAACAATATCCCTCCACCGGGTTAAACTGCCTTTGAATGCACCATGAAGCCTCAGCTGGCAGGGGCCAAGAAGCGCCTGAAAGCAGCCGGATCCGAGGCGGCTCTGTCTCTGCAACAGGAGCTTGTGGCAGCCATACATGGCGCGTTTGAAGTGGCTGTGGAAATCGCAGTTCGAGAGGTGACAAAGCTCGTAAGTGAGGCCACTGGAGATGCCTATGTGGAGATACAACGAGAGAACGAGTCACTCAAACAAAGACTGCAGAGAGCTGAAGCTAAGCTGGAGGAAAGAGGTGGTAGCTCTCCTCGTACCAAGCAGCACTTGAACGCCACAAGCCGCACAGATCAACCACCTCACCTGAAATGCAATCAGAAAAGCTCTAATCCCAATGTGGACATCGTGTTTAGTGGCACTGGGGTCAAAGATCATTCTCCTGTAGTAGGTCAGACTCACAGCCGTGTACACCAGTTCCCTGACCCCCAGTCAACACACGAGGAGCAGATATCAGGTGACTCAAACACTCAGCATGTCAGTGAAGCAGCCTCAGAGAGAGCAGATGATGGAGGAGCTGTTGCCTGCCTGCTTGCCTTTACTGAAGGTAGGTAGCTGCTTTCATTTCCTGTTTGTTTTTCATTTCCTACCACTCTACCTGTATAGGTAAAGTAGAACATGTTCGCCTAACATGATGTGACACAGAAAATATGTCACATGGGACTGACTTTTTTTTACTCATTTTGCAGTATGACATGAACATGGCCCATTATAATCAATCAAATATTAATAAAAAAAGAATGAAAGCCTCTATCAAATAAATATGCTAAATTAAGTAAGTGTATCAAGGACTAAACCGGCCATCATGAGGAATTTACATTTATAAATGTAATACTTTGTAGAGGTTTTGAGAAAATAGATGCACCAGTTCTGTTTTTGCGTTTATTAACTCAGCTTTAGACCGTATTGGAAATGTGCTCTCAGCATTTTGCGTTACCATAGTAACACACTCACTGACCCTGTCCAACTCTTCCTGTTAAGTAAACATCACAGAAGAAGACAATTAGAAAAGGCACCACAGATAATAGTGGAGTTTGTTCAAACATTCTTTTAAAATATTTTATTTATCAGAATCTTGTTTGCTACATTGTAATCACATGCGTTTGCAGGTCAAAGTTGAAATGTATAATGACTATATTAGGTACAATAACATTTGTTTAGAACTGTAATCATTGGCTCATTAATTACCTGCCCTTTATTTCTTTTTAAAAAATCAAGTTGCTGTCCTAAATGCCTTGAATTGATTTCTGAGTAAAAGCAAAGTAATTGTGTGTTTACTGTGGCTAAATTAAATGTGGGTCACATTAGTTTAAGTCATTCATATATATACCATCTTTAAAATACAAATGTTTTTAGGAGAATTTTGGTTAATTTGTTACCAAGAGAATGCAGCGTCTAAACGTTGCAATGTACTCTGATGCCTTTCAAACAAAAATGTAAATATCAAAAATCTGTAATCTATAAAAATCAAACCTTTAGAACATTTTAAGAGTTTACAAATTGTGCTCAAGTAAATAACACAGTAACATGTCTAATTTTATTTTGCTCACTGCTTGTACCCTGTGATCTTCTTGTTTACAGAAGTCAGTGATGAGATCTCCCATCTGGTAAGGGTAGAAAGTATCAACCAGCCATGCAGAGAACAAACAGCTCATTACTCGCCACTGTTTCCCAGTGTGGATGAAGAGTCTAGTGTAGACAATGTGGCAATAAAGCAGGAGATCCTAGAAGAGGGGGAAGACGATTCAGCCTTCTGTTTGGACTCGATGAAAGTGGAGGATTTCAGCCCGGACTGCATGTCAGCGATCCAGGCTGAAATGCTGGTGGAGTGTAAACCAGAAGTCCTGGAGGGACAGATCGACGAATCAAGCGCTCCTCTGTCCTGCACCAGACTGGCTCAGGGTAAGAAGAAAAACAATTAGCGCAGAATACACCACAACATTTTTTTTTTTTTCTACCTGTGGGACCAACTCTTCAGATATGAGATATATATTTTGTTATTATATTCTTTATCTTTTTGTTTTTCCTCTAACACAGTTTTTCGACCTTACTGCAAGGTAAGTTTAAGTTGAATTTGACGGCCATTTAGACCTCTGCCTTATTATTTACTGCCTTTGTAGAATGGATGAGTTCTGCAAACATTATGTTATCCGCCAGTTTGCATTATATTCATGTGACAATTTAGACCGCATCATCTCCGTGCAATCAATTGCTAAAGGTCAGCATTTAGACTTGAAATTTGGCATTTAGACTTCAAAACAACCACAGTGTAGTTGTTTATACGAATTAAAAACGTTGTTCACAGGTTCCTTAATGCAATTACAAGACATAAAATAATAGGAATAAAAATAGTGCAAGCTCAGACGTTAAGTAGTCTTATGGCCTGTGGGATAAATTATAGACTCAAACTAATGCATTTGAGTATTCTTATGGCTAATTTTATAGAAAAAAAGTGGACACTTATCATATTATCTGTGACTGGAAAAGTTCGTTTTTGAATATAAATGTCATTAAAGTGAATAAAAAAGTTTGAAACTCATATGACCACTAATCTCGTAGCATCTCTCTCCACAGAGTTACCAAACATCTTCCCTCTGGCAGAACCAGCTCCCATCCCAGAAGCGCCCCCACAGGGTTATGTCCACAGGAGGAATAGTCGCAACCTCGGCCACCCCGCCACCAACCTCTATGCCTGCAAGTCCTGCGGCCAGTCGTTCCCCCTGCCCAGCCTGCTGAGGCGGCACCACAGCCAGTGCCAGCAGAGGCTTCAGCACTGCTATCCGCCGGTAGATGGAGACAAGAGGCCCAAACTGCAGCTTTTCCCCCCGGGCTGCAGCCCCTTCCGCTGCACTGAGTGCAACCGAGAGTTCAACCGCTTGGAGAACCTCAAGACTCACCTTCGCATCCACACAGGAGAGATGCCGTACAAATGCTCGGTTTGCTCCAAGTGTTTCCGTCACTCCGGGGCGTTAACCAGGCACTTCCGCATCCACACAGGAGAGAAGCCTTACATCTGCGGACAGTGTGGGAAGTCCTTCAGGAACTGTGGGGGGCTTAAATTCCACCAGCGATCACATAGCAAGCAACTACAGTAGTTTTTTTAGATTCATGGACAAAGCAATTTTTAAATGGTCAAATCATTTTTGTGCAAAAGTGAAAAGTGGGTTAATATTTTATCAGATACTTTACATATTTATGGCACACATATTTAGTCTTAACTGAAACCTGGGTGACATTTGTATCATCATTAGTCAAAACTTTATTTAACAGGTCTTACCTCTGAGATCCCATGTTTTTTCAAGAGCTCTCAACCAGAAAGTAGGATCAGTTTAATTGATAAGAACTCTCAAGTGTATCATATTGAAGTCAAACCATAGATTATTCTTTGACTGAAACAAAAACGATTAGCTGTATTTTCAGTGATGTTCAGTGTCTTCTCATTTGTAGAAAAATAACAGAAATACAATGTATTGAAAATGTAGCAGTGCAATCAGCCACAACTGCGTATGATGGCTCAGTAGACACTTATTGATATGAAGTGTTTGGAACCTTTCAGTGTAACTCTACTCAACTTGTTTCATGAGAGTTATTAAATAATCTTTTTTTTTTTTAATAACAAGTATTGTTTTTAAAGTTGTTTTTTTCACTGATGTCTCTTGATATAATTTCATGGAAACTAGGGACAACAATTCAAATTTAAGATTTGGTTTTAAGCAGAGGTAGAAAGTATATTCAAGCCACGAATGGCATGAGATGTATCAAGGTCAAGTAAAAAAATAGCATCTTTGGAGTCGTAGACACTCAGACTGCCAGGAGAGGGCGAAAAATCACTGTGTAATCACAATCTTGTTTTAAAAGATATGGTTGTTGGTAAATGTGAGACATTTGCCGTTATTACTTATAATTCACATTAACCCAAATGCAACACATGTTCAACTCACAAAACATACTCAGTCAGTAACAAGGATTCCTAAAACCTGCATCATCAAATTTTCTTTCCCTCACGGAGAATCTCTCTAAGTTGAAGGTTTGATTTGCATAGGTATGAAACAGAGCTCCAAATCTCTAAATTGTAAACTCAAACCTTTATCACAGCTAAACTGTCAGGTGAATTACTTTCTGCTGTGTTGGAATGTGTTTCTCTCCGTCAATGACAACTTTCCTCTCTGCCATGTTGAAGTGTCCTCAAGCTGTGCTACTATGAAACTGCCTCACTCCTTTAACAATACATTATATTGCTAATAAATTAAGTCTACTTCAGCTCAGAAATGGGATTTGCTCGTTGTTACATTCCAGGTTCTCTGTACTCACATTCAATTTGAGTTTAAGGTACATGTACACATACGTACATATATTTTATAACATCACAGCTAGAAAGCCAATCATGGTCCAATAAGCAAATTGATGTTGAAACTGAAGTATAAAGGGACAAATATGGGAATAGGGGACATTTAATATCCTTTAGTTAAACTTTTGAAATTGAACAAACATTTGCCTATTAATACTTCTTGCTTCTGGAGTAGCCTAATTGTAATACAAAAAATATACTATATCAGATGCATGTATTTTTCCTTCATGTAATGGGACTGCTACACTTTTTTTTTTTCTTGCCTTTTTACATAACTCATTTGCCAAATGATCAGAATAAAAACAATTGCTACGAAGGTTCACTGACTGGATAGCCATTTTGATTTATTTTCCAACATACACTTTATTTACGTCCTGACCACTAAAAAGGAGCTTGCACAATGTGTGATTTTAGGAAAGCTCACATCAGTTAAACTCATAAGTATACCGTCTTTAGTTAAAACAGATGTTTTAGTAATGAAAATATTGAGGTAAACTCTGCATCATAGACTGTATTGGGCTCTGCATCCAAAAATAATTTTACTCTATGATCGATTGCTTTGCACATATGCGTCTTTTCTGCCATCGATTACTCGGGCCTGGATTAAAGGAAGCGGACGTACTGAGGGAACAGGAAGGAGATAACAAAGCCAGCAAGGATAAGCAGCAAAACAAACTACCTGCGTTACCCGTCAACGGGACAGTTAAACTATTCGCCTCGTTTTGACAGGTTAATGTTCATGCAAGGAGGGCAGGCTGCTGTCATGAACGGCGAAGAGCTTCCTTCCTCCGGGCTGAAGATGTCGGTGGGACTCGCTAGTTCCGCCTGAGCTCAGCTGCTGCTTCACAGGCTGCTGTCGGACACTCAGCCCGCGGTATGTCATTTTAGCTTCCTAGATCGACTGGACTGCACCTACAATAATATATCTATTATTATTCTGTCAGTGAGCCAAGTTAACTTTCCTGTCTGAAAGCATCTGACAGCATCTGACAGCATCTGACAGGCCACAGCAGCACTAAAAGAGAGATGGCTAGGGATGGAGTGTACTTTACATATGCTGTATAGGTATACATGTTTGTCGTAAAAGGTTCTGAGTACTTGTGTTAAATGCTAAGACAGATACGATTAGCCTTTATTGATTTCCAAAGGGGTAATTCTAGTGTTGCAGCAGCACAATAATCAGTACAAAGTTGAAAATTAGCATGCATACATTGACAGTTTAATGCTTTGTGTCTCCAAGCTGACACATTCAAGCTGTAAAAAAACGTACCCACAGAATCTCCGACCTTTGCTGTTGTTCATTCCTACACATAGTATGCTGCATGCACTCTATTTCAGCATGTTTCTATAGTCTTGCTTTTGTGTAATGAGCAGTATGCCACCACGGCCTGTGTTGCACCTGTAGCCCTACCTAACACACCCTGGAGAACACTTCAACATCACTGCTACAACATTCTGTTCAAGGGAAAAAGGGCCACCGCTTGTGTGGATGTCCAAATCAGTGTTGATGGAAAATATAGCCTAATGAAGCAATACATTTCTCAGTACATGCTATATTGATGAGTGTGCAGCTGGAAAATCTGTTTTTTTCCATTAGCCACTGCTGTTATTTGAGGTAACATTAACATAATTGGAGACAAGAAGGAACTACAGACCATTACAGGTTACAGGATTTCAAGTCTTTACCTCAGGTTAGTCAGGGGGCATTCTCCAATTGCAGCTCCAAAACAGAACTTCCTAAACCTGTTTTAAGATGGCTTGAATTGTTACTATGTAGGTTTCCAACCGTGAAAATTACATCCCAAAATATCAGTGTACTGGACAATGATACCTTTTACATTTTTGGCTGCCTTGGGTATTCATTCATATTTATTGCAGCCAGAGCAAACGGTAAAAGAAATGCAGGAGGGTATGGCACGTCAGAAGCTTGCACACAACAGAATTGGAGGGATGAAACCCTTTTGGTCACACATGCAGAGCACACAGCACACACAGTGAAATGTGTTCTCTGCTTTTAACTAATCCTAGTAGTAGAGTCTAGTACTAAGAGCGGTGGGCAGCTATTGTACAGCGCCTGAGGAGCAATGGGAGTGGGGGGGGGTTGTCCGGTGCCTTGCTCAAGGGCACCACGGCAGGGCCCAGGAGGTGAACTGGGACCTCTCCAAGTAGCCGTCCACACTCCATATTTAGGTCTGGTCGGGGACTTGAACCAGCAACTCTACCGCTCCCAGTCCAAGCCCCTACTGACTGAGACACTGCCGGACTGTGCAACCTGGTACATAAAGGCTCTGTGGACAGGGAAACATTTTGACTCAAGATGGCGCACACTGAGCAATGATTACATTTAACATCAACACCAAGTGGCCGATCAAATGAAAGATGGCAAATATTCCTCAAAAGTTGTTTTTTATTCAGGCAATCAAATGTTTTAGTCTCAATGGCCTGTGATAAACCAAATTGACCTGTCATTTTAATTGAGTTTTGAGTGTGACTTGAGAGGTCTTTAAACAAGGCTTGATGCCTCCGCACTCCTTCCCAAAGAAAAGACTGTTTCAATCTCTATTTTTCTCTTCTCATTGGGCCCGAACAGAGACATGTGTTTGTGTATATCTCTTTAGCAGGCTGTGACATTAGCTAGCCAGGAATCTTGTTGCCTTTTTCTCTGTCAATTCACCCTCTTAACCCTGCCTTCTTTTCCTCACTGTGTACAGACGATGCAGGGCGTGTCCCAGGACCCCTCACGTGGTGCAGGGGAAGGGGGGGAGATGGCTCACACTCTATCCAAAGAGACTCCCGGGTCTCCAGATCCCTCTGAGTTGGGGAGCCCGCGGTGCACGCAGAACTTTGACCTCCTCAACATGGTTGTGTCCTATAAGAGGATGGCTCTGTTTCTAGAACCAGCTGCAGATGCTGTGGAGGTGACCCGCTTCCTGCTCGGGTGTGTATGTGTGTGTGTGTGTGTGTAGCCTATTTGAGCATAACAAATCGCTTTCCCCCATGAGCAGCAGGAAGAACATTTTAAACTCAATATCTGCCTTTTGTATCCCTCAGATGGAAGATGCCCCTGTGCTCTCTTTTTGTCTGTTTGTTCCTAAATGTCTTCTTCTGCACTATTACTGAAGGTAAGATGAGGCATTCGGTGCTAATATTGATGAAGCTTTTGCTTGGTGATTTTAAAGGTCACCTATTATGCAAAATCCACTTTTTCATGTATTTTCTACATCACCATGTGTCCCCTCCGTGTGAGGAGATTCTGAAAGTTTCAGGAAAAAATACTCTCTTTTTGTCCTGATCCATTTATATAAAAACCTGCCTGAAAATGAGCTGATCAGATTTTGTCCACTTTATGATGTCATAATCGTTTGGCTTGTGTAACCATTAGCCAATCACCAACCAAGGTAACCCCCCCCCCTCATCACCTGAATCTCCTCCGAGAGCACCTTTGTGTTCTTTTTAACCAAATCTCTCTCAGAGGGGCATGGGGAGTGGCTCCTTATTTTCATCTAAAGTAACAGACAGAGAATCAGCACTTTTGATACAGGGCTGAAACAGAGGGGATTATGGGATGCTGCAATGATCTGTTTGGTGTTTGGAGCCAAACACTTCAGAAACATGTTTTGTATATATCTGAGACCTATAATATATGAATGAAAAACAGTATAATAGGGGACCTTTAAAAGACTTGTGAATTATTTATTAACCCGCTGTTGTGTCTGCTTCTCTGGCCTCAGTGGGCTGGATCACAGTGGGCGTGGTGTCCGTGGCGCTGCCTGCTGCCCTGGGTTACCTGCAGGACAGGTGTGGGGGCAGAGCTTCAGATTCAGAGCTCCACAAGATGCGCTATCACGCCGTGCACCGCAGGGACCTGCAGACGGTGCACCTCACCAAACAGGAGGCCATGCTGGAAGTCAAAGACCTGTAAGGCTGCAGGGGGGGGGGAGTTATGTTCTGCAAGGCTAATTACTAAGGATTATATTCATCACAGATTCATCTTCTAAAAAAAGAAAATCTTGAGTTTTCTTTTTTTTAGATGTTAGCAGCCTAAAACGCCAAACATATTCAGTTTATTAGCGCATCATACAAAGTTAATACCAATTACGGTATTGTCTTTAAGAAGCTTTTTTGGTATTTTTGCTATGAAAACAATAACAGTAATTAAACTACTTTAAGTTTATCATACATTTGCCTATTTCTTTTCTGTTAAACCATAAAATGTACTTATCAGTTGAGCTTGTTTGTTATAGCATTATAAATGCTTAGGAACTCTGTTAAGTATTCCTTGAACTTTATTTTCCCAAATTCCCTTTTTTTTCCTTCACAATAATAATAATGAATATCCTTGAGGCCTTACACATTTGCTTTATCCATTTCTTATGTTATAGAACATTTGCAAAGCCGTTTAAAAAGTGGGTCCCCAATCAATAAACCTTTTTCTACTACTCTTTTTGGAAGAAACTATGGCTTGTTCCTACATGTTATATGTCCATGGGACATTTGTACATGGTGTTTCTTCACGTATGGGTTGATGTTACTACTGTGTTTGTGAGTGCTCATGTTTTCTGTCTTCTCCAGGTTGAAGCACTTGGATGACATGCTGTCCTCTGCCTGCCTGTCAGCAGAAACTTTTTACAGAGTCCTGTACTGGGACGATCACACCACGTCATCAAGGTCTACACACACACACACACACACACACACACACACACACACACACACACACACACACACACACACACACACACACACACCAACAACCACCACCACCACCACCACCACCA